CTTACACATTTTATCTTAAACAATTATTATTATTATTATATATTTTAATACTTTATTTAAGATTTATTTCCGTTTTGTCATAATTTAATTTTATTCAATTTTAATTGTTTTTCTTATACTTTGTTAAAAGTACCCAAACGTAAGATAATTATAGAGAAAATTTGAAGAATATCAATTATATTAATACGATATCAGATTTTGATATACATAATAGATGTAATAATAATCATTTAGCAAATGAATAAAAGAAAATATAATATATTATCGAAGAGATATATATATATACATATAATTGGACAAATCGACCAATTAATTTTATGTTCTCTCCAATTAGAGTTAGTTAGAGATTAGATAAGCCAATTCACATGGTGTTAAGTGTCACCGAGCATGAACGAATTATTACGATTGTGTTAGTTTTATACGTGTTTAACCTTTTGCATATATGCCTATGTGTTGTGTGTAAGTGTGTATGTGAAGAAGAGAGAAATAGAGACAGAAATACATATATATATATATATACATATACAATATATATAGGGTAATATTGGTACAATGTTCGAAATGATACTTCCTAACAACGCATATTTAATCGCTAATTAAGTACCCACAAAATGGAACCTGTTTGCCTGTCACATTTCGTGCAATACCACGAACATGGCTATCGAACTCAGCGTCACGTTTACTATTGTGTCAGAGTCTATACTATTGTCGTATATTTGGGTGTAGGTGGATGTGTGTGTGTGTGTGTGTATGTGTGTATTGGAGAGAGAACTGTCAGCATTGGTCAACCTGTTTCTCAATACCAAACGTCGATTCCCATTGACCAAACTATTGTTAATTAGACGATTGAATTGACAATTGGACAATCGATTATTTCTTCTATATTTTTTTCTTTTCTTTTCTTTTTTTTCTTTTCTTAATCCTCACACATAATTAACTTCATTTTTATTATATTTAATTGAGTGGATTAAAATCAAAAGGAAATTCCCTGTTTTTTTATTATTATTATTATTTATTATTAATAATACATATTTCAGGTGTATTTGACGTGTCATAGCTTAGGGTGGTAAGCCGAAAACAAAGTTTTTTTCTTTTTCTTTTTACACGATTATAAATATGGTTTAATTGTTTTCAATATAAGAGAATGTTCTTGTTTTTCTTTTCTTTTTTTATCGAGTAAAAATTGTTCCTTACGTATTATTTTCTAATGTAAAATCTTTCGATTTTATATATTTCAATTATTTATTTTTTATCTATTTATTATATTAAGATATATTATATGTATTTAAATTGTGTGTTTACAGGATAGGCCCAAAAGTTCTTAATATTATTATTATTATTATTATTTGCGTTGAAACTTTCGGCGCCGATTTAGGAACTTGCGAATAATAAATTGTTATATAATAAGTGATACTATTAATTGAATTGAGAAAAATTAATTACCACACATTGATTTATAAACAAATATTTCAAATCAATGTCATATAGTTATCGAGACAATTGTAAATAATATAGTTAAAAAAAAAAGATATTTCGTTGTTTGCAAATGATAACAACCGTTATTACCATTGATAATATTTTCGTTATATAAATACCATTTTGGATATTTGTCGGTATAATTGTACATTAAATTATTCCAAAAGTTCATTCTTTCAATTAAAAAATGATTCTCTATCGTTGTATTAACTTCTTGGTTACCATTGAAAACCATGAATTCGTGATGATTACGATACGCAGGCCAATTGGGTACACTCCAAGTACTCGGCACCCTGTAAATACGTAATAGCGATTAGGATCCAAGGATCATCTGGATTACAGTCGGTCGAATGTTGTGCCANTTTTTTCTGTGTTATATTATTACATATATATTTATTCTATCATATTGAATAAAACAATTTAAAAGAAATAATAATTTTTTCTGTCTTATATTATAATATATTATATTATTTTTTCTGTTTTATATATATTATTACATACATATATATTTATTCTATCGTATCGAATAAAACAATTTGAATGGAAATAATGATTTTTTCTGTCTCGTTTGTATTTTTTTTCTTTTTTGATTCTCCACCACCGTTTCTTTCCTAAAACTTTTCTATCTTACTCTAATCAAGTGGGAAAGGATAGGAAAGGATGGAGGTGGAGGTGGAGGTGGAGGTGGAGGGTTTAACCGTAGGAGGAAAAGTGAACTAGGAGAGAAAACGGTGGCTGCTGCCGAGGGTTCTCTCTTAACGCGAGAAAGCACTGCAGCATTGCTGTTGGTGATGCATTGCCCCGGGAGATTAATGCATCGTGGGCCACAGTTTGTTAGAGTGAATAACGACCGTCTGCAATAATGATATTGCCATTAACCTGTCCGCGGGAATTTCGTTTTCGCGGTTCGCCCACGAACCATATCGAACTTTATTTCTTTCTCTTTCACATACAAACACAAACATATATATGTATATATACACACAGACACATAGAGAAAGGTGTGTCTATCTTTCTCTTTCTATTTATCCTATGAATAATAAAATCGATCTATTACGTATTTCAAATTCTGATGTGAAAAAAAGAAAAGATTTTTATATCCGATAGAAAGAAAGTTTTTCTTTAAACGAAATGGGACGAGTGGGAGGAAGGGAGGGAAAAACAAAAATGTTGCTGGGTCATTGAACGAAGAAAAAATTTAACAATATGTTTAAAATCAAGCTTCCGTTTTATTTTCTTTTTTTATATTTCTTTATACGTTGTGCAGAAAAAAAAAAAAACAGATAAAAAGGTTGTTTCTACTACTTGCTGCTTTCACACTCTTCTTATTTCTTTTATTTCTTTCGATGATACGTTGGGTTTCGTTCGGTATAAGTAACACACCACCCCCAGGTTCGGTAAAAGAGCTAAGGCACGAATGGGAATCGTAATATCCATTAACCCACTAACACACACACACACACGTTTATATATATATATGTACCTGTGTATACCTATTTATATATTTGTATATATTCATTCGTATGTATGCTATATGTATGAATGAATTTTTTCACGTGTGTGTGTATATATATATTTATGTATAGGACAAATTTA